TGGCATCTGCCCTCTCGGGCCACTCGGCCGTCGAGGCCAGACTGCCGCTTCGCGCACACGCACACGAGCCGAGCTCGAGTCCCGTCGGTGACGGACCTCCACGACTGGGGCTGGTTGGAAATGTTGTTGAACGGGTTCGTTGAATAACTTGAACAATGTCGGTCTTGTCACGACGTCTCGTGTCAACCGATTTATCCGTAATTGTTGGCGTCCTTTTTGACCTTTGCGCCAACATGAGTCTTCATGTCGTCTGTCCACTCGACTGCAGTCAGACACACCGACACAGCCAATTCTCCACGGGGCACTTGACTTACACATTCTGGGCTCCTGGGCGACTGGGCCCAGAGTAAATAATTTAACTGCCTCTACCCGACTGCATTGTCCTACCAGCTGGGCACATGTACACACACATACACTCGCCTGTGTACACACGTGGACAGACATACAGACAGACACAAAAGCACACATACAGACACAGAGTAACCTGGTGTCCGGGCGCCCCGGCTAAATGCAAATCGTCCAATGGTCGGATTGTCCTGGGCCACGGTAACTGGATCGATAATGGCCGGACAAACTGACAAACTGACAAACGGACAAACGGACAAACGGACAAACGGACAAACGGACAAACGGACAAGCGGACGAGACGAGACGAGACGGGACGGGACGGGACGGGACGGGACTGATTGCCTGTGCGACTGGAGGGACTGGGTCCAAGTCCCGGTTGAACAGGTTGAGACGATACGAAGAGAAACTGGGTTTCGATGAATCTCCTGAGATAACATTGTTAGAGGGACCTTCATTTCGTATGAAATTGCATGAAGAAGAGATTCGTTGGTCGATCTTACCAGATGAGGACGGATGAAACTCGTTGTTGACGCAGTCCACGGGACTTGCTCCCTCGTTTCGGGTGAAAACGTGCTGAGCTTTCGTCCATCAAATGATGAACATCGTCAGAGCTGGGTGTCATTCTTGTAAAAGTCAAATCTTAACACTAGGCCAAGAAGACT